TAATATTTTTTCGTGGGCCAGACAGAATGGACTTCAATAGAATCATGAGATCCACTTATACCATTATGAGAAAAAACTCCCTTATCAGACTTGTTAGAATAACTGAGTTATTATTCGAGAATCAGTTATAGTCTCGAAAAATACTTAAGATGAACGTTGTTTATACATCTTTTTCAAGCACCCAAACTTTGATTGAGTTCATTCTCAGAATTTGATCCAGCATTGCCTTCGCTGTTGTTGGTGAGAAGCCCAATGACTAGTACAGAGTTATAACCTGGCAAAACAACAACTCAAGTTAATTTAATCTTAAACGATTTTGATATCCCTATTCCCTCTTTGTTCTAGCTTCTAGCGCTGAGCCATCATCACTCAATCTGATTTTGTTTCATTATACGATGCCAAAGAATAGGCCAACAAAACTTATGCCGTCATGAGTCAGGACACCGTACGGAGTAGTTGTCATGACGTCGTCATGATAGCATAAAGAAATTTGGGAAACGAAATTTAAATATGAGATGTATTCACCCAATTTCGTTTAAGGTGTTTAGGGACTGGTATAAGAAGAATTTTCCCACAATGATATGAGTTGAGCTGACGTTTCCATTGAATTTCACATTGCCTTGTTTTCCCAAAAGTTTTTCTCATCCAGGTTGGGCTGCAGTTTCGACCTCGCATCGGTCTTATCAACACCCTCAGCGAAAGTCGAACCGCGACAGTGCAGGATGGGAGCTTGACACGCTAACAACTCGGCTACACTGCCACGAGCCTCTTTTGGGTCACAGGACAAATGTGAATGTTCAAGGAAGGTCAGGCCTTTTTGCCATATTATATTATTTTGTTGTAATTGTCGATGAAGCGAACATATATCTGCTATAACAATCGACTACTATACTTTATTTTTCGAATTAATTATTGTTTTCGTGAATACATCTCATATTACTGATTTATTGGTAGTCACGAAAACAATACTTAATACGAAATTTCAATGTTCCCATACAGGGAAAGGAGGTTAACCAACGCTAAAGCCACATCCGGTATGCTCATCTTAGATGAAATCAGTTCAAAGCAGTATGAGACCGCGTAAGTCAGAGGTTTTCATATGGCCTTGTATGCTTGAGTAGATTGGGGGCACCCAATTCAAAAGCTCGTTGTTTAGCAAATCTGGAGTGCTGAAATGGTATTAGGCCCTCACCAATAATGCATCATTTGGCTCAAACTGAGAGCTAATTACGCATTCATACTTTGGGCATCAGCTCCAACAACTATCAGATTTATCTGCACATTCCTATTGTGCCTAAACAATCGTTCCGCTTCTATGGAGCTGAGGTTGACAAAACTTGTTGTTGAGCTCAATTCCATGTTGAGTGAGAGTGTCTGGTAAAGAGATTCAAAGGTCGATCTCACCAGAAGACAATGGCGGATTCCTCTTGACCGGCTGCCGATTGACTTTAATGGAACCTTATTGTTGGCGCAGTTTCTGATGCAATCTTCTTCGATTCTCGTGA